TGTCTCTGTGTCTGTCTGTCTGTCTGTGTGTGTGTGTGTGTGTGTGTGTGTGGGCAGTGCTCATCATGCCTGACAGGGAAATCAAATCTCCAATCTGGCGTCCAGAACCGGAGACGGTGGAGGACGTGTTTGATCACACATATAAAGAGAAAGAAGGGCCCAAACCTCCCTCCGTGGTAGTGTGGAGAAATGTCATTCTCATGGGTTTCCTGCACGTCGGAGCTCTGTATGGACTCGTCCTGCTTCCATCAGCAAGTGCTCTCACATGGATCTGGTGTGAGTATCATGCACTTTAAAAAAAAGAAAAAAAAGCATAAACCCTCTATAAATCATGCAAAAACGAACATTCTGTCATGATTTGCGTAACATACTCTCTTCATACTAACGTGGAACACAAAAGGAGATGCTTAGAAAAATGTTCCCACTGCGCTTTTCCAAACAATAAAGCTGAATGGAGACCAGGGCCGTCAAGCTCCATATAAAGACTTCTGAAGGCGTGCAATAGCTTTGTGTTGCATCTCATTTTGAAATGTTCTAATACACACAATTAGTCCTAATGACATACAAGAGCTCATTATATTAGACGATTATGTGCTAATTAAATTTTTATTCATTTAAAAAAATCTCATTGGCTAGCAGAGCTGGGTAAATTACTTACAAATTGTAATACGTTACTAATTCCAAATTACATGAGAAAATTTTTAGTAACATAATCCATTACATTACACATTTCGTTAATGTAATTAGACTACTTTTAGATTACTTTTGACCCATCTCGTTTTCCCCATTGGTTCATGTAGGATGATCTTGTACCATATTGACATGAAAATATATTCCATTCGTTGTCAACAACACGAAGTGCATTAAACATTACATTGTGTCAAAGTTTCCCAAACTGTGTTTGTGACACTGCAGGGGGTTTACGAGTTAAAAGCTAATAATTAATTAAATCGTACAAATTTCAAATTGAAACAATTTTAAAATGAATTAAAACAAAACACTTACTGAAAAAATTAAATATTTTACCTGTTTACCTGCATGACATGTGACCGTAACCAATGTCAGAGAACCAATGAGCATGCAAATGTGATGCTTCATTATTAAAATATTTGTTTTAAAATCTCAGGGGTACTTCAAATAAATATATATTAGGTGAAAGAGAATCAGACGGCAAAAAAGTTGGTGAATTTGTGCATTTCAATGTGTTTGAAAGACAAACGCCTTCCAAAGTAATACATGGTGAAATAACCAACTGAGTGATAATTCAAATAAACATGAATGTGTTCATCAGAAGTTGATGCAATGTTGAACACTTCTGAAATGATTTTTGTAAACCAGTGGTGAAATGCTGTGTAGCACCTGATTAGTGAAAAACTGGAGACTTTCTGAGTGTGTAGGATATTTTAGAAAAGAACATCTAAAATAGGAATTGGGGAGAATCAATAAATTATGAATAAATTATTGCTATTGTGTAAATAATATGTAATCATGTAATCCATAAAAAAGTAACCGTAGTCTGACTGTAGTATTTTAAAATGTAATTTAATCTACTTTCATGTATAAATCTCAATTAAAAAAAATTGACCCAGGGTCACATTTATTTGCTCAAAAATGCATTAAAAAAAGATGCATGAAATCCAGGTGTATTGAACTGTGAGTGATTGAGACTTCATGTATGTGCATTAAAAATTGAAGTTTTGTGGGTCTAAGTAGTACATTTGAAAGTCATTTGCATCTGTATATGATGGATGGCGTATGTTTGTGTTTTTCAGTTTGTGCGTGTTGGTTGTTCAGTGCTCTGGGCATCACCGCCGGCGCTCACAGACTCTGGAGTCACAGATCATATAAAGCATCATTACCTCTCCAGATCTTTCTCGCCTTCGGAAACTCCATGGCCTTCCAGGTAACGAACCCGTCTCCGCACAGACCTCGCCATCTGCACGACGGTTTGATTTAACGTACGTAACAAACGTCAGTATAGAGTTGAGAGACCCGCAGTCAGGAGTTTAGGCTCATCTCACTCTTCATTCTGACGAGTTTCCTCATGTTAGAATAAAGGTAGAGTGACGCAAACTCTGAAATCACACAAATGCAAGTCTGGGAATGATTAAAACATGATGCAAATGAAATCTCTCTTATATTTGAGCCTCTTTTCTACAAAATCATCTCAATTCTAAGCATTTCAGCAGAAGCTTTTAGATCAGAAAGTTTTTAAGATCATGAGAAACATTCCGTCACGTGTGTTCAAACCAGTTTTAATTTAGTATCAATGCTATATACTGTTATACTTGTTGTGTTTTGAATTTTTCTTACTTTTTGTCATTTTTATTACTTTTTGTCATTTTTATTAGTTTTTTTATGTATATATATATATATAGTATTTCTTAATTTTTATTTATTTTGTTGTAGCTAATTTAATAACTTAAACTAAACAAAAATTAGATGTTTCCTTGGCACTAGCTGAAATTATTTAATTTTATTTTATTTAATTTTATTTAATTTTATTTAATTTTATTTATTTTTTTCAGTTAACATACATTTATTGTATTAACTAGAATAACCCTGGATTAAACATGTGACTGCTAGTGAACCTGTAAAAGTTGTAAGAAACGTTCGACGCTGTTCGCTTTCTATGAAGTTTATTATTTGTGCATTTGATTTC